CAATGGAATACTACTCAGCCATAAAAAAAGACAAAATTGGCCCATTCACAACAACGTGGATGGACCTCGAGGGTATTATGTTAAGCGAAATAAGCCAGTCAGAGAAAGACGAACTCTATATGACTCCACTCATAGGTGGAAGTTAGTATATTGATAAGGAGATCTGATCGGTGGTTACCAAGGAAAAGCGGGGGTGGGGGGAGGGCACAAAGGGGGAAGTGGTGTACCCACAACATGACTAACAAAAATGTACAACTGAAATCTCACAAGGTTGTAATCTATCATAACAGTAATTAAAAAAAAAAAAAGAGGAGGTTTGGCAGATGTTAGCCCAGGGCTAGTCTTTCCCCCCCAAAAAAAAGAAAGAAAGAAATCAGATGAATGGTTGCCAAGGGTTGGAGTTGGGGGAAGGAGAATGACTGTCAAGGGGCACAAGGGAAGTTTTTGGGGTGATGAAAATGTTCTATATCTTGATTGTGGCGGTGATTACACAACTGCATACGTTCATCAAAACTCTTTGATCTATTCATTAAGAAGGGTAAATTAAGGAAGTGGCATGCATGAAATGGGTAATGTGAAGTTGAAAAAAAAGCATGAAAGTTGTGGGTTGAATGAATGTTCTAGTGGCCTAAAAGTGATCTTGGGATGAAGTAACAGGAAGCAAAAAAACAAGTGAACATACATGTTCATTCTAAGCTGTTACTCTATTACTTTCCCTCTTATGAAACATAATATAGATTCTGTAGAAGTCATGCATAATAATAGCTTACAAAATTGAGCAAATACTATGTGCCAAGCCCCGTTCTAAAGATTTTTACATATGTCATTTAATCCTCACAAAAACCTAAGGTAAGTAGAAACAGAATTCTAACCCAGGCAGTCTGATTTCAGAGCTAACCATAGAATGACATACTGTCACTTTTCAAGAAGAGTTGATAATCTGCTACAAGGACAGCCTGGTAAGCATTGGTAAGTAGTCATTGATTCCAGTAATAGCTAAGAAATATGAACTACTTCCAAAAATGGCATCTTTCATTGATGCCTTGAAAATCCAGAGGGTCACACAGTTGTTACTCAATCCTATAGGTCAAAGGTCAATGTGGTAGCCAGCCTCCAGATGGACTCCAATGATTCTCGCCTCCTGTTATGAACACACCTGGGTGGTCCCATCTCACACTGAATAGTGTCAGTAATTTGACCTCTGTAACTAATTTCAAATTTATGTAGGGTATTGCAGAAATGATGGAGTGTGACGTCTGAAGGTAGGCCATGAAAGACATGGCAGCTTCTGCCTTGCTCGCTTGGATTTGGTTTGGTTCCAAAATTCATTCCCCATGTGGCAGATTGTATATATATATATATACACATATATACATATATGTTGTTAAAGATTGGCACCTGAGCTAACATCTGTTGCCAATCTTTTTTTTTTTTTTTGGTTCTTCTTCTCCCCAAAGCTCCTCGGTACATAGTTGTATATTCTAGTTGTCCAGTCCTGGTTGTGCTATGTGGGACGGTGCCTCAGCATGGCCTGATGAGCATTGCTGGGTCCGAGCCCAGGATCTGAACTGGTGAAACCCTGGGCCACCGAAGCAGAGCGTGTGAACTTAACCACTCAGCCATGGGGCTGGCCCCATATTATACTTTTTAAGATAGTCACCACAACAGCTTCCATACCACATGATCTTCTACTTTGTCACCCTCTCACCAAGAGAAGGGATCTATGTCCCTCCCCTTAAGTCTGGATGGGCTTCTGACTGCTTTGACCAATAGAGTACTGCAGAAGTAAGGTAATGTGACCTATGAGGACAGGTCGGAAGATATAATGCAACTTCAGCTTTGTTCACTGGAACACTTGCGCTAGTAGTCTTGAGCCACTACGTAAGAAGTCTGATTGCCTTGAGGCCACCATGCTGGGGAAGGCTAGGCTCTATATGGAGAGGCCACATGTAGGTGCTTCAGTCAGCATTACTAGATTCCAGCCTCCCAGCCCAAGCACTAGACATACAAGTAAACAGCCTTCAGAGAGATGATTCCAGCCCTGTTAAGTGTCCCTCAGCTTTTGAATCTTCCCAGCTGAGGACTCAACACTGTGGACAAAAACCAATCATTCCCACAGTGCCTTGTCCAAATTCTTGATGACCAGGGTCTGTCGGCATATTTAAATGGTTGCTTTAAGCTACTAAGTTTTGGAGTAGTTTGTTAAGCAAGAATAATAACCAGAACACCCTGTAACTCCTGACAGTTTTAATCTTCCCCCAAATGGCCCCTCCTCCAAAGTCCTTGAGCTGACCATCAGTTGAGGAAAGCTATACTGCAGGTAACAAGGTCTTAAACAGCAAAGGATGGAACCAAAGTCTGCTAAATTACTTCGAGGGTTATTTAGAGTGGTTGAAGTCCTTCCTGAAGAACTAGATGCCGTCTTTCTCTGTTTATACTATATTCTTCCCCTATGGTGGTTTTTAAGGCTGAGTAAATGGATAACAAGATAATTCACATAATATAGGTGGTCATAGACATAGCCTACTGTCCTAGTCCATTCAGGCAGCTATAACAAGATATCACAGACCGGATGACTTATATACAACAGAAATTTATTGCTCACAGTTCTGGAGTCTTGGAAGTCCAAGATCAAGGTGCCAGCATGGTTGTGCTCCAATAGAGGCCCTCTTCCTGGTGCATAGCCGGCACCTTGTTGCTGTATCCTGACATGGTGGAAGGGGCAAGGAATCTCTCTGGAGTCTTTTTTATAAGGACACTACAATCATGTGCCACCTAACAACATTTCAGTCAACAACGGACCACATATACGACGGTGGTCCCATAAGATTAGTACCATATAGCCTAGGTGTATAGGAGGCTATACCATCTAGGTTTGTGTAAGTACACTCTGTGATGTTCCCACAAGGACGAAATCTCCTAACGCATTTCTCAGAATGTATCCCCATCTTTAAGCGATGCATGACTTCAATCCCATTCATGAGGGCAGAGTGTAAGCACCTCCCTAAGGTACCACCTCCTAATACCCTCATCTTTGGGGGTGAGGATTTCAACATACGAATTTGCGGGGGAAACACAAACATTCAGACCATAGCACCTACAAAATAAAACTACCTTCAATTTATCTAGAGAAAGTAAGTTGTTATTGAGTCTATAGAATAGAATGACCAGGATGTGACAGTGACAATGTCTGAAAGGCATCTATTACTAACTTAAAAATCTGCTAGCACTAAGGTTTCAAACTAATACATTCCTCTCCTTCTCAAGATGGCATCTCAAAAACCTTTCACTCATACTTTATGAAGATTCATCCTGTATTATATTTTGAATAATAATGGTAAATATAAAACCAAGGAACAAAGGTGTTGTCCAATAGTCCACTAAACGGAAGCCCCATGAGGACCATAACTTTGTTGACTTTCTTCACTGCTGGCACAGTGCATACAACAAAGCAAGCACTTAAAAGTGGATAAATAAAATCACAGAAGAAAGAGAATGAATTTATTCTCTGATGGACGTGAAACTCCCTATTAGCACTTAGGCTTTTAATTTTTTAAGTCTGTAAGCAAGACAAACTTTTTTCTAGATTGAAGGAGATAATGGAAAATATCTATTGGTGAACTAGCAAGAAAAAATGATTGAAAGAAATGGAAGAAGACATAAAGAAATGGAAAGACATTCCATTTAGAGTTAACATAGTGAAAACATCCATTGAATCTACAGATCAATGCAATGCCTATCAAAATTCCAATGACATTTTTCACAGAAATAGAACAAAGAATCCTAAAATTTACATGGAACAAAAGACCCTAAATAGCCAAAGCAATCCCGAGAAAAAAGCACAAAGCTGGAGGCATCACACCCCTTCATTTCAAAGTATATAACAAAGCTGTAGTAATCAAAACAGCATGGTACTGGCAGAAAAACAGACACACAGATCAATGGAACAAAATCGAGAGCCCAGAAGTACATCCACACATCTATGACCAGCTAATTTTTGACAAAGAAGCCAAGAACATAAAATGGACAAAGGAAATTCTCTTCAACAAATGGTGCTGGGAAAACCGGACAGCCACATGCAAAAGGATGAAAGTAGACTATCATACACCATACACAAAAATTAACTCAAAATGGATTAAAGACTTGAATGTAAGATCTGAAACCATAAAACTCCTAGGAGAAAACAGGCAGTACAGTCTGACATTGGTCTTAGCAGTATCTTTTGGAATATGTCTCCTTAGGCAAGGGAAACAAAACGAAAAACAAACAAATGGGACTACATCAAACTAAACTATTACTAAAAAAGACAACAAATAACAAGTGTTGGAGAGGATGTGGAGAAAAGGAAACCCTCATACACTGCTGGTGGGAATGTAAACTGGTACAGCCACTGTGGAAAATAGTATGGAGATTCCTCAAAAAATTAAAAATTTAACTACCATATGATCTAGTTATTCCACTTCTGGGTATTTACCCAAAGAACGTGAAAAAACTAATTCAAAAAGATATAAACACCCTTATGTTAACTGCAGCGTTATTCACAATAGCCAAGCCCTGGAAACAACCTAAGTGCCCATCAAGGGATGAATGGATAAAGAACATGTGGTATATATACACAATGGAATACTACTCAGCCATAAAAAACGATGAAATCTTGCCATCTGCAGCAATATGGATGGACCTTGACGGTATTATGCTAAGCGAAATAAATCAGACAGAGAAAGCAAAATACCATGATTTCACTCATTTGAGGAATTTAAAACAACAACAACAATACATAGATACAGAGAACAGATTGGTGGTTACCAGAGGGGAAGAGGGGGAGGGGGAGGGCAAAAGGGGTAAAGGGGAGCATTTGTACAGTTATGGATGGCAACCAGATTTTTGGTGGTGAACACGATATAGTCTATACAGAAGTCGAAATAGAATGATGTACATCTGAAATTTATATAATGTTATAAATGAATGTTACCTCAATAAAAAAACTCCAACAATTATACTTGAGTCAATATGAATTTTTATTAACACACATTTGTCAAAGTCTGTACAAACCAAAACATTCTTGTGTTTTAAAATGTCCATTATTACAAACATACAAATAAACAAAAGGTGTTACCAAAAGTTAGCTACTCAATTTCATGGTAAAACAGTGTCATGATTTTTAAAAAGCAAAATTTTAAGACTGAGGTTTCTTCTTTCCCTTTTTGGAACTTGTGGAAAGTTATAAAATGTGTGGATTTGCTTTATATTAAATGCCAAGGCCTTAAAAAAAGATTTAGTATAAAACTAAATATGTGTTTTTATATTGTCACCTCATGTAACAGAATTTCTCAAGTCTTTAAAATTAAAAAAAAAACCATGACTGTAACTTTTTTCACAATCTATTCCCCATAGTCAATGTAAATGCATCTGAAAAATATGACAGTTTATCTTTACCTAAAAGGTTCTCATTCAAAGAGTTACAAAACTGTTGAGCACTGCCATTTCCCTTGCTTAAAAGGGAAAATTACATCCCCTACTAAAGCAACATGGTCCATTGTTTCTCTTATCAGAAGGAAGCCACTCATTTCCACTTCTGTGTCCAATTATATGCATGGATCCACCGTGAGAATGTTATCACAAATTATAAGCACTTGCTTCTAGGAAATGCCTACCAAGTTAAACTTACTGCTACAGTTTTGGTAGACTGAGGTACAAATGTCACTGCCCTCATGATTACCTCGAACTCTAGTACCCCACTGCATTAACAATTCCAAGGTTGTTGGTTTTATGCTGTTTCATGGCACACTACACATCTCTAATTCCCTTCACAAACATCACACAGAGGACCTGAGAGTATGGCTAGAAATGCAAATCTATCTCCTCTCCTGGAAAAGCAAATTGACGTGCCTATTGGGTCAAAGGAAAACAGGACACAAATAATTCTGGCTGAGGCCAAGCTGCTTCTGAGAAGCACCTATTTTCCCTACATTTCCATTAAAGGCAGGGAGTGTACAGGCTGGAGAAGGTACGCTGATATCATTTCTCCCAATCAGACTCAGAGTCCATACTTGAGCAGCTCATACTGACCCCAAAAATGCTCTGTAGTTCAAATATTCTCCCATTTTGAATCTGCTCATGTAAAAAAAGAATGTTCTCTGACAATGGCCCAGTATGACAACTGATACAAGTAAAGGATATTTTTTTAAAAAGAAGTGGCAGTGTGAGAATTTAAAATTAGTCACATAAAACAATCAAGAAAGGGGTGGGGGAGGGAAGCGTCCAGTATAACCTGGACAACCTTTCTTTCTGCCCTTACTTAAAAAGACAGACTGTTCAAATCTTTGCTACCTCCTTTCAGTAGCTTCTTAAACGCTCTTCCAAGAAATCCTTCAAAAGGCACTTAACTCCATACTTATGCATTGAATTGTTTCACTTTAGCAATCAGTTTTTAAGACTCGAAGGTAACAAGAAAAAAAAAACATCTGATTCTTTTACTAAAAGCTAGAGACTTTTTTTAAGAAGCATCACTTTTACAAGAAGAACAAGCTAGGTTACCATTATTCCTTTATCAAGAAAAAGGTTCTTTTTTAAAAAATAAATAAAACTCTGGCTATACATAGTACAAAGTTCATACATAATATACCTGGAAAAAAACCCAAGAGTATACCCTGAAGCAAAAGGTTTATTGGAGAGAGAAAGCCTCTTCCATTGTACCAAGTCTTAAGGTGGCAGTTTTCAAAGTTCAGAGGGTGGCAGTGATATGTAATTAATGCCAAACTATTTGCTCATGGGTATGGCAGGATGCAATGATGGACAAAAAAAAATCATTCTGCACATAACACTGAGCAGCGACCACCACACACAAATAGTAGTACCAAAAGAGAGAGAGAGAGAAAGAGTAGTAACTAGAGAATGGGAAGGGGGGAGCAGGAGAAGAGAGGAGTAAGAGGGTGAGAGAGAGGGAGAGAGCACGAAATCCCAAACATTCAGGCATGCAGTCATAACACAGCACAAACCAGGTGTTTCCATTCAGCCCACTGCAATCGCACAGAGAAGGATAACTATAATAAAATAGATTTCTTAAGAAAGCTTGCAATTCCCAGAAAACAGCCACGTCGCCAACCCTAACCCAGGAACCCATTTGCTGTTGCTGGGAGCCTCCTTGTCGTCTCTCAGGGAGAGGTTATAGTTCCTGACTTCTCGGACTTCTTGCTCTTGGACAAGGCAGCTGCCTGCTTCAGGAGCTCTCGGTTTTTGGCCTAAAAAACCAGTGCAAGAAGGATATTTTAACAGGATAGGGTATTTTTTTCATGCAGATGCTAAGGCAGACAACGTAGAGGGTCAGGAAGAGATGAACAAATTCTAGAGGTAGAAAATGACAGACAGCTCTAGGGCTTGGTTCGGGGGAAGAAAGTATTTGCTGGAGGTTAATCAGTGAACTTTAGTCTCCCGAGATCCACTGTTACAAAAGGATGCTCTATGCAACAAAAACAAACCATGGAGGGCCTTAATGTGCTGGATAAACGGAATTTATAATTCAGACATCTGGAATCACATCTGGTTTATCCAAAAATCAAATAACACACTTATCAATTCCACTTTTTTTTGAGGGAAGAAGATCAGAACGCACCCAAAAGTGAAATAACAAAAGGTATCTGTAGGGTGGATTAATGTCATCTGTCAATACTTTGAGAAAAATGGTATCTAAGAGACGATCACTTAAAACACAATCAGCTAAATATACCAGAGTTACCACATAAAATAAGCAGTCACCTGCAATTGTTCTGTGACTTCTTTGTGGGTTTTCTCCATCTGGTTCATTTTGGCTCTCATCTGAGATTCTTGGTATTGAAAATCAGCCTTCAACTCTGTGATCTGAGGGGAAAAAAGGCAGAGTAACCAGAAGAAATTTCTGAGCAATGAAGAATGTTTTGGTACCAGAGAGCTAACTGGTCCCTCAAATTAATGAAATCCAGGGTTCTCCTGAAGATCCATACCTAAATCAAAGCCAAAGAATTCCATATCCTACTTTTTCAAAAGATTTCCTGAAAATTACACAAAATCCTGAAGTCACGTTTCTGATACTTAACACTAGCAGGTTTTAGTGATTTTATGTATTTAATATATGCCAATAATCCTCTGATTACTCACCTCCAAATATATCAGTGATTACACCACAATACGATTGATGGTTTGAGAAGCCATGAGAATAACAGATGCTATAATTTACTGAATTTTTACCCTGTTCCAGGTGAACTCTTTGATTATATTACCTCATTCAATACTACAACCCTGTGTGGGGGGGTATATTATTCTTCCCATTTTACCCATGGGAAAACCTTTAGAAAGGATTAAGTAACGTGGCCAAGATCATACATGGTAGCAAGTGGCAGAGCTAGAATTCAAATCCCAGGCCTTCTTCTATTGACTATGCTATTCAAGGAGCACAGAGAAGAAATATGTAAATCAGAGAAGCGATATGTGAGCTGAGTTTTTTTTTTTTTTTAAAGATTTTATTTTTTCCTTTTTCTCCCCAAAGTCCCCCAGTACACAGTTGTATATTCTTCGTTGTGGGTCCCTCTAGTTGTGGCATGTGGGACGCCGCCTCAGCGTGGTCTGATGAGCAGTGCCATGTCCGCGCCCAGGATTTGAACCAACGAAACACTGGGCCGCCTGCAGCAGAGCGCGCGAACTTAACCACTCAGCCACGGGGCCAGCCCCATGTGAGCTGAGTTTTGAGATAAAAGCAGCAACTGGCACATGAGGTAAGGAGAAAAGCATCCAAGCAAAGAGAGCAGTATGGGCACAGGCAGAGTGTGAGAGAACTGAGAGCTTGTTTGAATGACTAGTGAGCACGCAGAGTGGCAGGAGATGAGGCTAGAGATAGGCAGGCACGATGTGGAAAAGACTGTGTTCCATGCCAAGGAGTGTGACCTTGATCCTGAAAGTCATGGAAAACAATCTACTATTTGGTTTTGCTCCTTTTAAAATCCTAACTTTGCAAAGCACTAGAAATAAGTGTTCATTTTACGTCTACTTTGCAAAAATCCTTTTATGTGCTGCCATTCTGACCTAGTCCATGAAGAGAATATACCTGAGTCCATTTTCATCTGACAGTTATGCAGTAAAGTGGAAAGAATATGGGTCTCTTCCCATGAATCTCCACCCTACTGGCAGAAGAAAGCATAGCACAGTAGAAAGAACAGTAGAGTCAGAAAGACTTGGGTTCGTTTCTTTGTTTGTTCTGCCATTTACTAGCTGTGTGATTTGGACACGTCACTTCATCTCTTTGGGTCCATTTCTTCACGTGCAAAATGAGGTAGAAATTAGAGGGAAAGAATGCATGGGAAGATTCTAATGTTATAAATGTCTTTATTAGCCATTCAGAATGAATCATAGCATTCTGAATCTTGGCACAAGACAACATATAGCCTCAGGTTAAAAACAGAGGGAGGAGAACTGATTGGAACCCTCAGAAGGAAAACATTGAAGGCACTCTTCATCTATGAAATGATGATGATAATAATTCCTACCTCAAAGGGTTGTTATGAGGATAAATGAGTTAACACGTATAAAGCACTCAGAGTCAGACACACAGTAAGCATCCAATAAAAGTTAGCTATTGTTATTATTGTTAACATATTAAGGCAAAAATGAGATACTCTCTAAGAACCTAATAATAAGAAATTATAGACATAAATCAGAACAAAGATGTAAAAAGATCTCTTAAAGAGGGAGGATGATTCTTAGACCAGAGTAAGACTTCACTGAAGATATTAAGGTGTTTAAAGAGTGGGTCACTCAGGAAGGGAGCTGTCAGCAATAGAAGCAAAGTGACGCAAGAGTCATGGAGGAAGGCCTACCTGAACATTGTCCAGGGAGGAGGGAGACCTGGCCCACATACTTTGAGTATTACTGTCCCACGGACACGGCCATCCCAATAATAGAGATGGAGGCATCAGGTTCTCTTAGCCTGAGAGCATTAAAAATTCCAATTACATAACTATCTCCTCTTGTCCCAACTCCATGCTCATTTAGCACTTTTTGATTATGACCTTCCAAGGTAGCTCGTGCTGAGGGTAGTACAGTCATGCATCGCACAACAACGGGGATACATTCTGAGAAACGTGTCACTGAGTAATTTTATCATTGTGGGAACGTCATAGAGTGTACTTACGCCAACCTAGATGGTATAGCCTACTACACACCTAGGCTACATGGTACTAATTTTAGGGGACCACTGTCATATATGCAGTCCGCTGTCGAGCGAAACACTGTTACGCAGCACAGCACTGTACTCAGTTATATGCTCCGCTGTGAATTAAGAGGGGGCATCGTAGTTTTACACACCATCTCTGTAAGCTTGGTTACCACAAGTCCTCCCTGAGATGCGGAAGCTCCCTCCAAATGCTGAGAAGAATCAACTTTCTCAACCCACTTGACCGAGGCAAATTCACCATGGTAATACCACGCCATGAGTCATTTTGGCACACAGCAAGCCTCTCCCCAGGATATCCCAACCTTACAAATGGATCTCTCTCAAAGCATCAATGGTGAGTACCCAACAAATATCAGTTAGAGTTAGCATCGTGCCCTATCCCACATATCTTACCCTCACATCATTCTGGTCTCAGAGGCATTAACTAAACCGTACCTTCTTCTCTTTCTCTAAAATCATTTGATCCTTTTGATGCAGCATCTTCTTCAGAGTGGCCACTTCTTCCTTCAGTTGAGCAATGATGACAAAGTGGTCAGTGCCTGGTGAGTCCAGAGCCAGGTCTGGGGAAAAGCTGAGTGGAAAAATGGATGGGAAAAAAACCTTAACTTGGAGGAACAGACTTTTTTCTACCTGAGGACACATCACAGGCCACTTGACTGCAGACTCAAGGGCAGGAGCAACTACGTGAATTCCCAACATTAAGCACAATGCACTATACATGCCAGACTCAACAGCATTTGCTAAACTGCACAAGCAAGGTGGTCATCAGATAACTGCAGCAACCCAAACCACAACCTGCAGCATTCCTGCAGCAGCATCTCTCACACTCAGGACTGAAATAAAAGCCATTTCACAAGAGCCAAGGATATTCCATTTCAGGTTTATTGAAGGTCTCCAATTATTTATGGGTGAAACAGTCATAATTTCTTTGTGATTAGATAATTTCCCTAGAATCTGGATAAATTATGAATTGTAAGCCCATGCATTTTTCTTTAAGGCTCCCCACAAAGTTTGTCTTTTGGTTCTCCGTTTTCCACCCCAAAGCTCTGTGATGTGGTGCAGCTGCTGAGAAGCTGCTGCATTCTACCCCGGGAGAGTCAGTCCTTTTTTAAAATGATAATAAGATGACAAAATTAATAGGAAGGAAGCCAACTTCCCCTATACTGCAACTGGCCTGTTGATTATCACTTCCAATACCAAGAATTCTGTGACATTCAGTTAGGAAAGGAACAGAGAGGTGACAAACTCCAGAGTCACATCACAACCTGGGTTTTCACTGAAATTACCCCTGAAATTGTATGTACAATTCTGTGTATACATACAGTGGTTTCTAGGGTGAGGATTCGTAGCTTTCATTGTTGGTCAGAGGTGTCTTAGACCCAAAACAAGTTAAGGAATCACCACAGAGGGTCAAATCCTGCCCTTCCCTAGAGACTTCCCACAGGAAGCTCTTTACTTTTCCCAGGGCAATCTTTAGAGTAAAACACAAACCTGCTTTTCCTAAGCAGACACTGGACTACTGATTCCAAACTCTCTGTACCAATATAGCAACAATTCTAGTTCCGCCTTGCTGTTGGTTCTTTCCTATATCTTTAACCCCATCTAATACCCAGCATTTCTCCACACAGGTAGAAACTCCAAATAGCAAGCCAAATCACTGGATGTACCTCCTCATAGTTACCAAGTTAAACATTTCTATAGCTAGAATGGGCAGACATAGTCCATTGATAAGAATATTGTCCCTCAAGTCTACATCAAGCATATGAGAAAAACGTTCAAAGCATGGATCAATGCTTTCATAACTGGTGAATATGCAGAATTACTGGGTAATAAAAAGTAAGTGCAAAATAATAAAACAAGGCATACAGGAGAAAATGTTGGAAGGACCCATCAGAGTCTCCACCAGTTTCAATACCCACCAAGGGACTGTCTTCCCTCAACCCAACAGACTCTATTTAAACCCATAACTAGAGTGATGAAGGAAACGCAGTAATGGGCTAATATAATTAACTTCTTGTTGTCCCAAAAGCTCTTAATGCTCTGCTCTACCTGCTTCTTGAGAGAGGATTCTTCCCATACCAATAAATTGCTGACAAAACCAGTTGTGTCTATCCTGTGTTAGGGCCTGACCTTTCCAACTCTCTAACTTCTAATTAAGAACTGCTGGGAATCAAAATGAAAAAAGATGGCTAGATGAGAGCAAGGCAGAAAATTAGATCCAGTCTCTTTCCAAATACCTCACTACTTCTCCAGGAAGCTTCTTATCTTTCCCAAAAGCTTTTAATATAAGCACAATCTTCCTCAGCTTGAGCCAAAACCTGCCTTCCTGTCATTCCTGTCTATTGGTCCTGGGTCTGTCCTCAAAGGCCACACAGAATAACTCTAATCCTTCAAGTGTATTTCAGAAGGAGAATAAAATAAAACTACAAGGAAAGGAGGAGAATATCCTTTAGAAATAACAAACCACAAGGTGTGGTAGGGCATCACTTATTGTTGAGAGTGCCTTTTTATTGTCAATAAAATAATAAACAAACATGATCAAAAAGTAGCTGGTGCATTTTCTCAGGGAAGGAAAGCTAGAAATGAACTCAAGATTTTCCTCAAATTGAAGTTTTTGTTAGAATTTCAACATTAAAAAACATGAAATGAGTGGCTGTGAATTCTGCAGGATACTAAAAAATAAAAAGACTAAGGTATTTTATAAGTATAAAACCATTAGAGAAATGGTTTTATTTAAAAAAACCCCTAAAGTAATATGTTCTCTTTGTACAATATGAAAGGCTAATGGGTAAAGAAAAAGAGGAGGAAAAATAATCAAACATGCCTCAATATTTAAAAAATAAATGAGAGAGGAGAATATGGTGGTATCAAAAGGTCAATGGGAATAAAAATGAAATAAGAGCATACATTTTAAAAGTATATGGATACTTTATAAGTGGGGCCAGGAAAGTGGATTGTGATTAATTAAAAACTGGGAGGCAGCTGCAACAATAGACAGTTCAGAAATGAGACTGGTAACATCTGGTACAGAAGTGAATTCGAGATAGATATTCAGTAAAAAAATTTTGGTCTGCATGACATTTTAAAAAAGGACTGTCAAAAAAACAAAAGCTTGTCAGAAGGAAAGGCAAGGAAAAAAACACAACAAGTAAAAAGAAAAGGAAAAATGTAATTTACCTTGTGCTATGAACTTTTAAATAAAAGAAATGCAAACAAGTGGAATAGACTAAGACTGCTAATGCAGAAACATTCAGTTGGAACTCGTATATGCATGAAAATAACTTTTGTGGCAGCAGAAAAATTTTATAAATTTTCAAGTTGTTAGTGTAAATTATTTTTAAAAACTAGCACATACATTTCAAGAAAAAATTATCTTTTACTCATTCTCTCCTGATCCAGCATCTGCATTGGGCTGTCTTTCTACATGCTAAGGAAGCATGGATTACCCCTCAGAGACTGAGCAACACTGCCTTACCTCCAACCTGTCTCTGCTGTGCCTCTTGAGACCGACTCCTGCTCTGCCTGGAGGAGGCTACAGGCACAGATCACAGTGAAAAGCATCCAGCCATTGACTTCTAGAATTAGTATGGGGAGTTATTTGTGGACTGCAGAATTCACCTGCTATTAAATCCAGTTATATGTTCTTGTCTGAATGACAAGATTAGACTTATAAATAAATATCAGTACTGCCTGTTAATAAGATAGCAAGTGGCTAGCGTAGTGACCTTACAAGGTTCTCTGACAACCACAGACTAGCGCCAAGGGACACCGTAAAATGTATTCCTGTTTCAGGAACTGTGTATGCATTTCAAATGGAAGTGTGTGCACACACTTCCATTGGCTCACCTGTCTCCATTGGTCGTGATTGACTCAAACTTGGATTTTTTCTTTGGGATTTCATTTTGAATTGAAGACGTAGAAAGTGTTTTCTGGCTTTTAATGGCAAAAAATAGAGACAATTAGAAATCAAAGATTAATTAAACATCAGAGTGAAAGTCCGTCAAATGGGACCACCATAACATCATAGCTCTTCTTTTTTTTTTTTTTTTTAAAGATTTTAATTTTTTCCTTTTTCTCCCCAAAGCCCCCCAGTACATAGTTGTATATTCTTCGTTGTGGGTCCTTCTAGTTGTGGCACGTGGGACGCTGCCTCAGCGTGGTCTGATGAGCAGTGCCATGTCCGTGCCCAGGATTCAAACCAACGAAACACTGGGCCACCTGCAGCGGAGCGCGCAAACTTAACCACTCAGCCACGGGGCCAGCCCCATCATAGCTCTTCTATGCAAGAGATAATTATTCTTGATTATTAAAATCCGCCAACGTGTTTGATTTCATAGGTCCCGGATGCATGGGTAGTCCGTTTCCACGGGCCCCCCAAATTCTTGGCATTAATTAAATATTATCTGCTTTATTAACAACTATGAGAACAGAATTAATAAAACTTCAATAAGAAGTATAATCTATCCTATAGCTTAAAAAGTACTTTTATATTCATATGCATATGAAGATGCATATGCAATGTTTCACATGCATCTTATAATTCTGTGAGGTATATACAAGGTATTATTTCCACTTTGCAGAAACTGAAGCTCATCAAGGTTAACTGATCTATCCATGGATAGACAGCTGGTTAATAGTGAAGCTGGGACTAGGCAGCAGGTTGACATATTTCAACTCCTAGTCCAATTCTTCTTCACTATATCTCTGTGAATCTACAACACTAAAAATCAGTTGTAGCCCCAGTAAGTTCACCCTCTAAAACTGGTCTGCAACTCTTTCACTTTGATGGATGTCCAACTGCCAAGTCTAAAGGATGCTGCAGACCCTGTCTGACTCGACCTCTTTTCAGTATGTGATACCCTTGACCATGACATCCTTTCTGCCCCCAGCTTTACTGATAAAGAATTGGCAAATATAATTGTACATATAAAGTGTACAATGTGATGAGTTGATATATATGTACATTATGGAATGATTACCAGGATCAAGATAATTATAATTATCCATCCACCACCTCACACAGTTAACTCCTTTTTTTAATGGTGAGAATGCTTAAGATCTACTTTTGCAACTTACAAGTATAAGATACCATATTAACTACAGACACTCTGCTGCATATTAGATCCTCAGAAATCCTTCTAACTGAAAGTTTGTACCCTTTGACCTACATCTCCCCATTTCCTCCTCCCCCAGCCCCTGACAATCATCATTCTATTCTTTGTTTCCACGAAACTGGCTTTTAAAAAAAATTCCACAAAAAAGTACTACCACACAGTATTTGTCTTTATCTGACTCATTTCACTTAGCCCGACGTCCTCCAGGTTCATCCATGTCGTCGCAAACAGCAGGATTTCCTCCTTTTTTATGGCTGAATAATATTCCATTATATATATACACCACATTTTCTTTATCCATTCATCCATCGAAGGACATTTATGTTGTTTCCATATCCTGGCTCTGATGAATAAAGCTGCAGTGATCACAGGGGTGCAGATACCTCTTCGAGATAATGACTTTACTTCCTTTGGATATATATCCAGGAGTTATTGCTGGATCATATGTTAGTTCTATTTTTAATTTTTTGAGGAACCACTATACTGTTTTCCACAATGGCTGTTATCAATTTACATTCCCACTAACACGGTACAAGAGTACCCTTTTCCCCACAATCTCGCCAACATTTACCATCTCTTGTCTTTCTGACAACAGCCATCCTAATAGGTGTGAGGAGACACCTCATTGTGGTTTTGACTTGCATTCCCCTGATGATTAGTAATGTTTAGCACCTTTTCATGTATCTATTGGCCATCTGTATGTCTTCTTTGGAAAAACATCTATTCAGGTCCTTTGCCCATTTTTTTAACTGGATTATTTGCTTTTTTTGCTGTTGAGTTGTATGAGTTCTTCATATATTTTGGATATTAACCCCTTATCAGATATATGGTCTGTAAATATTCACTCCATCCTTCTTGAGTGCTTCTAGAGTTCTGTTCTCAGCCTCTACCTGAGTTATACCACTCAAAAGCTTGGTTTCAACAACTACCTACCCATTACAGGAACTGGAAATGGGTGTTTCCCAGATCAGTGGCATCAGAATTTTCTGGGATGTTTATAAAACAGTGCAGATTCCTGGACTCTATCCTAGATCCTACTGAATTAAACTCTGGCATGGGGCTGCAGGAATCTGCATTTTTAAACAATTTCTATTCCCACCGACTTTTTTTTTCTTAAAGATTGGCACCTGAGCTAACAACTGTTGCCAATCTTCTTTTTTTTTTCCTGCTTTCTCTCCCCAAATCCCCCCAGTAATAGTTGTATATTTAGTTGTGGGTCCTTCTACTTGTGGCATGTGGGATGCCGCCTCAACGTGGCCTGATGAGCAGTGCCATGTCCATGCCCAGGATCTGAACTAGCGAAACCCTGGGCCACTGAAGCAGATTGCGTGAACTTAACCACTAGGCCATGGGGCCGGCCCTCCCACTGACTTTCACGTGCTACCAATGGCCCGCCTTCAAACCTCTCTTCTGAGTTCTAGGCTAAGATCTCACTAAATAATTCTTCTTGATGCTTCAAACTCAACTTTTCAAAAGTGAACTACTTTTCTCCCCTTTCTATATCCTCTCAGTTAAAGATCAACCTACTCATGCAAGTAAGAAGCCTGAGAATTATTGTTTACTCACCCAGCTCCTGCCCATCTGTCTGATCATGAAATTATCTAAGTTTCTTTGTAATTCTCCCTCTAAAGTATCTTCCTGAATCTGCCGCTTTGATCTTCAGTGCCACTGCCTCAGTTGAGGTTCTCGTAGTAACATCTCTTACCCAGACTCTTACAAAAAAGCATCTTAACCAGCCTCTCTTTTTTCTCCAATGCATTCTCCACAATAATCAAGGTTAATTTTTTACTGACCTCAGGATCAAGTTCATGCTCCTTAACAGGTCTGCAGGGTCTTGTTTCCTTCATTCCTGGGCTCCCAACCATAAAAGGACTTGCAATTCCCCAGGGTTCCATGTGGCTCGTGCTCTCCATGCTTTTGCAATGCTATTACCTCAGCCTAGGATGTCTCTGCCCCTTCCTTATCTGATGATTCCGACTCATCCTAAGATCCAGCTCCAACATCAGCTCTTTTCTGAGCCTTCTTTGCCTGACTTCCCAAAGCAGTTAATAACTATTGCCTCTCACATCAGTATCCTGACATTTCCACTATGGTGTCCATTGAATTATACTGCAATGATCTGATTACAGGTCTGTTTTCCCCACCAGACTGCACACTCCTGGTGAGCAGCGTGATTCTTTTATTCATCTCGATTCCTAGCAGAGTTCCTGGCCCATGAAAGTACTTAATAATGTTTGCTAAATGAACAAACAAAATCATAATGGTAATAACAACAAAGAGTAACTAAAATGTACTGAATGCTTCCTACATGCCAGTTATAAAACTAATCATTACGCATGTGCCATATAATTTACCTTCACAACAACTCCATGAGGTAATACTATTATTTCCCTCATTTTACAGATGAAAAAACTTGCCCAAGATCCCACACAGACAACCAGTAGAGACAGCATTCAATCCAGAGCCAGAATTCTTAACAACACTACAGATACTCTGAAAGGAAACTTAAGACAACAATGAAAGGACATCTTTTTGACTGGATCCCACAAGGACAAACCTAGAACATCTATCAACCACCTGGGCAAATATGCATTAAAAAGCTGAATTCCTCAGAAAGTGAAATGTCCAGTCTTCTAGGGAGATAACTCACTCTAAGTGTGGGAGAACATTACACGGGAAAGTGGAACAAGTTCCACAAACTTTTCAGACATAATACAAACCAAGTCAGGAAATCCTGACACCTTAAGGAAGTCTCTCTGCCCCTTGGGAGATACGTGAATTGCAAAATATGACAAAAGAGATTCCTCCTATAGACCAGTAACTAGAGAGAAAAGAATAGGAAAAAAATAGAAAAAAACCCCTACAAAATGGTATCTTTCATGGCTAACTGTGTGAGTATTACTTCTGCGTTACCAGCATCTCTAGTCCTATCTTCTGCATCTTGGGGCTACCTGTTATAATGGCTGCCACCACTCAGTCGACTGTACTGCTCCTTCTCCTGGTGGCTGGCACGCGAAGAGCTGCTCAGGTGCTTCCTCTGCTCTTTAGTCTTCTGAAGGACCCGTTTGTATGAAAGTGTGCACAGCCAGCACAGCAACTTCCCATCTACCTGAAAGATACGGAGACGAAGATAAAGAAGAGGGAAAGTAGTCTACAGGCACTCCAGAACTGGGGTACTGGCAGCTGGAACTTCTGGGTTAAGGCCCACCTCTGCCACTTCTGAGCTGTGTGACCTTAGGGAAGTCATTTAAGCTCTCTCTAGCTCAATTTCTTCGTGTGTAAAATGAGGGCTAATAGTACCTACTTTAGAGGGTTGTTGCAAGGATTTGGTGACATATATGTGCCAGGCACATAAAAATTGCTTAATAAATATGAGCTGCTAATTTGTTTATCTTTTTGTTTCATTTTTCTTCAACTTAACAAATATAGACCAGAGCCAAGTTCCCACAGGATTTCTAAAGACACACATACCTCCACGGTGCTCATTAAGGAAAACTCAGCAGGGAGAAGACACAAGATGAAACATAAAATGTACACTTCAGTTTTAATACCTTATAAATGGTTCACAAAATAGTATGTTAGATATCTTTTCTCAGATGGAATATCCCCAGAAAAAGACTGTTGGGCAAGTGGCTTCCAGGGCCCCAGTCCCTGGTGGTAGCCTACCATGGCACTTTATTTAAATTAGAAAAAGTCGATCCCTTTGGGCAGAAGCAGCTCTGTACCAGGGCACAGGGTGCAGGGCTAGGAAAGTAGAAGGGGCTTCCACAATCCTCTGAAGCTGGAGTGCTTCTGTGCAGTACTCAGACTGCAAACCTGTCAGTGGGGAAGCCTGGAGTAGGTGGCAGGACAGGTGGGCTGGTTGGAATTACTTAGCTTGGGGAGGGAGTGTGCTGATATTTTACAGAATTTCAGTTTTCATGTCTTATTGCTGAAATTAGATTTTGTGCCCCATCTTGAACATGGGTAGGCTATACTGTCATTTATCTAAAGTATTTTTAATCTTGTTAGCAAAAGCCTCTTTGTACCCCACCTCCCGAACCCACTGGCAAGCTCATCAGTCTGAATCTATCCACTTCTTTCCAATTTCACTGCTTCCACCCAAGTACAGCCATTCTTCTCTCTCAACGATCTCCCTACTTCTTCTCTTGGGTTTTTACAAACCACTTCCACACAGCTCCAAAAGTGGGCTTCTTAAATGTAAATTTGATTATATCTCACCTCTCCTTAAAATCCAATGGTTTCTCATCATTTCTAGTATAAAATCCACTTTTTACCATGGCCTATGCTGACTTAAATGTAGCCCCTATCCGCCTCTATAACCTCCTTCCCTGGTCCATTCTGCCTTCTTTCTGTTCTTCCCATGTGCCAAGCTCATTCTTGCCTTAGGGTCTTTTCACAGCTGGTCCCTCTTCCCGGAATCTTTGCCTCCAGAGCTTCCCAGGGCTGCTACCTTCTCATTATAGTTTCAGCTCAGATGTTATCTCCTTGGAGGCCCTCCTGATTGCTCAGTCTAAACTGGCCTCCCCAGTCACTCTCTACCATATACTCTACTTCTTCAGAACACTTATACCTAAAATGCGGGTGCATTTATTTCCTTGTTTGTTCTCCCCCATCTCTCTCATACGCACAAATATAAGCTCTGTGAAAGTAAGGTCTTGTCTGTTTAGTTCATTCATATATTTCCAATACCTATAACAGTGTCTGATATGTGATAAGCATTTAATTATTTGTTAATGAATGTAGGAATAGACTTTGAAATGAAACTTTGATCTGGTTCATTTCATGGTTATGGCATTTTAAAACACTTTGGAAGACTTTGCCCAGAAAAGAGCTTTCACTGAAGAAGAATTAGAAAACAAGGCAACTCCACTGAAAGAGAGCCAGCACTGAAGATAAAAATTACATACTGAACTACAGGACGCTTTATTTCAGATCTCACCTTTAAAAATATAAAATCACCCTCTGAGAATTAAACTATCATAAAGAAATAATCCTAGGTAACACTGATTACTTATCATGTACCAGATTTCTTTTGAATGGCTTTACACATAATAGCTCAACCTTCATAACAATGCACAAGGTTTGATCAGCCTCCTTTACAGATGAGGAAACTGAGGCACTGGCAGATTAATTTGCCCAAAGTCACACGGCAAATAAGTCAGACTTCAATGTGGGCATTCTAAGTCCAGATCACCCATCCTCAATCCCTAAACTTAACCCCACTAAAGTTTATGAACGTGTGATTGAAGATGCCTAAAAACATCCAAACTCCTAAGATAGGACTGTAACTAAGAACGCAGAAACTTAATGAATCTAATGTAATCAGATTAATAAAAATTAGCTATTCCTATTAATAACAAGATAGTTACCATTTATAAAAAGATTTAGCTATTCCTATTAATAAGATAGTTAACATTTATTGAGTTTTATTATGTGCCAGGCTCAAAATTAAGTGTTTTATATACCTATCTCAATTAAATCTATGTCCTTGTGAAGTAGTTACTGTTATTCCCATTGGAAAGATGATGAAATTGATGCATAACAAGAGTAAGTAACTTGCCCAGCTGGGATCATTCAGCTGGCTTAGGAGTGGGATAGGACCCAGGTCTGAGGGACTACAAAGCTGTGCTCCAACTATTATTATATGCTACCTCCTGATTACTCATTTATCTTCTCCAGTATCTTGATTCAGGGAGGAGGAGCCTGGTTGGCAGGCAAGAGTATTCTAACCACTGGAAAGTTATACCCTTCCATTGTAAATTAACGAATTTGGTTAGCAAGAGTCAGCTCTTGAGAGCCTAAGCACCTCTGGACACTGAAAAAGAGTTTCTGAACTGCATTCTTTGATTCAAAAAATATTTATTGAATACCTAGTATGTGCCAGGCTGCTGGAAATATAGCAGAGAACAAGATGAACACAGAGCTCACATTCTAGCAGGGGTGGACAAACATGTAAGCAAATAAATAAGATAATTTCTCATAACGTACATGTTATAAAGACTTAATAAAACAGGGTAATATGATAAAGAGTGACGGAGGGAGTTAGTAAAAGAAGCTCTCTGTGAGGACATGGCATCTGAGCTGAGACCTGACACAAGGAACCAGTTAAAACACTCCGGAGAGGGGGCCGGCCCCAGGGCCAAGTGGTTAAGTTTGAGCGCTCCGCTTAGGGGGCCCAGGGTTTCGCCAGTTCGGATCCAGGGTGCAGACATGGCACCGCTCGTTAGGCCATGTTGAGGTGGCATCCCACATGCCACAACTAGGACCCACAATTAAAAAATATACAACTAGGTTCTGGGGGGATTTGGGGAGAAAAAGCAGGAAAAACAAAACTACCCTCCGGAGAAGAGTATATCAGGCAAAAGGCCAGCCAGCACAAAGGTGGGAATGAGACTGGCATGGCTGAAGGACTGAAAGATGGCCAGTGTGGCTGGAGCAAGGAGAGAGGCGAGGAGTGTGATGGCAGATGAGACTGAGAGTCAGATATGTGCCTTGCAGGCCATGGAAGGAGTTTGGGTTTTATTCTAAGTGTAAGCGGAAGCCAGTGGAGGGTTTTAAACAGGAGAGTACCTTGACCAAATCGAAACCATTTTGATTCCACCAAGGTACCTTTATTCCACATAGAGCTTCCCTCTACATCATTTTCTTGTGATCTTTAACTTCAACAGACAGAAATATTTAAAGAGCCAGAGAGTAAAACTGTTAATGACTATATCTTGTTTAAGTCACAATCTCTCCTTTACAGAGTGCTATAGAATTTTGCCAATCACCACTTTACCTATATAGGATATTGTAATTCAGATTCTCATGAAATACTAACTCATGAAATGTTAGAATATGATGGCCCACATTTGATAAATGAAGAAAATACAGGCTGAGTATCTTCTTCAAGGTCAATAACAGAATTGGGAGAGAAACGGAGAAGTTTTTCTCGATTCTATGTCTTTTTAACACAATTAGCCCACCTTAATTTCTCTGAAACAGAAAAAAAAGTCAAGAAAAACACAGAGATTTACCTTCTTTCTATCATCTTTCCTGTCAAATGCACACTGCTGCTTGCACTGTTCACAAGAATATGGTGGTCCATATTTCTTCTCTGAATTTGTGCAGCGCTGGCATTTGTTGCCAATAAATGCTGCAATTATGTTGCAATACTGACAAGGTTTGGGCTTAAAGAGAAAAAAAGGGGTCAAATAAGAACATTATAAAATACCAGTGCACTTTTTAAAACAATGATTCCTATTACACAGTCCATTAATCATGGTAAAAATGTACGCTCAACTTCATAAATTTCCTTTTACACTGATCAAATACAGCCCAATTCCTAACACTACATAAAGTGTTTTTCTGCACAGGACTATTGATTTCAAAATAAATTAACGAACAAATAACAAAAACCCAATAGTGTATATGCTGGGACTTCTATGAGAAATTTAACAGAACCAGCTCTTTGGAGAAATCAGCAAGTGCTTCCAAATTTCTGAAAAGGCCTCTTTGCCATTATCAGTGTATAAACATGTTGGGAGAATGATTGCAAGGACACAGTATCCCAAATCCTAACACTGAGAGAAAAAAAAAAGCATTCATCAAAATGAATAGTCAACTGCTACCAAACAAAGAAGTCAAGTCATAGGATCCATCTTTCCCCTACTCTTTCCATACCAGTTACTGAAGCCTCTCAAGGAAAATTATAATCACAATCCTGCCATAGCGACTATAAACCCAGAACTCCTCAATACTAAGTATTAGCTAAGTTTCAGAGCTCAAACACTAGATAAATACGGTTACTACATTAACAGTCCACAGAACATGAGGTTCCCAGAGACCTGAGTACTCACTGTTAGGTACAGAGAAACTCTACTTACTGTTCCATACAGCTGCACATTCTGAGCACATTTCTTGCATATTGTATTGGTTTTACTGTAAAAGAAGAAAGAGACACAAGGCTTTTATAAGAAAAAAGTTGTTTTAGTTAGAATAACTGAAAACTGATTATTCCTTAAGCTCAGGAATTTGCTCATTGCTAAGTGCCAAGGTGAAATACGTTCTGGACACTTGGTTAACTGAAGGTTGAGTTATCTGGCCAATAACTCTTTTAATTATTTTGCGCGTTGCTTTTTTTTTTTAAACATTTTATTTCTCCTTATTCTGCTGAAAGCCCCCTGGTACATTACATAGTTGTATATTTTTAGTTGTGGGTCCTTCTAGTTGTGGCATGTGGGACGCCGCCTCAGCATGGCCTGATGAGCGGTGCCACGTCGGCGCCCTAGATCCGAACAAGCAAAACCCTGGGCCGCCGAAGCAGAGTGCGCAAACTTAACCACTCAGCCATGGAGCTGGCCCCTATTTTGTGGTTTTTAATTTTATTAGCTCAGACAAAATGAGACTTTGGCTAAAATGGAAAGTTATTTCTGATTATGACAACTCCAAGTATCACTAAGTAAAACTATCAGATATGGAAAGGACCCCCAAAAGAATATTATGTTAGACTGAAATGGACTTGCAGAAAAGAAAATAATTCTCCTCAATTCAGATGAGTAACAGAAATTTGAGGTGGGGCATAAAGTATATGTGTTTGGAATATAAATTTACAGATTTTATCCATGATGACCTTATTCCGTCTATGCTCCCCTCTGTAAGTAAAAGCATATGAAAACCCCAAATGTGGAGAAATAGATGCTATGACTAAATATTTTGTCAATATTTCCAATTTATCGAAGAGTAAAGCACTGACAAAAATAAAAAGGTCCTTTGCCTTCTGAAGATCCAGAGGTTATCTTACTGAAATGCCTGACCTGATAAACTGCCTTGAGAAAAAGCCATCTTCAAATAAAGTCTCACCCTTCACAAAGGGAGGTACAAGCAAATGCCTGATATGCAAGAACAGTTTAAGCAGTGCTCTGGGGCTAAAAATAAAAGCACACAGAAATCTAGTCTATCCACTATTTTTGACTATTTTCCCATACGATTCCTATGAGAATGACCATAAAGTTAAAACAGACAAAAGAAAAACCTCAAAGTAGAAAACATTTAAATTAAAATGAGACATTCAAACAAAATATTTCCCAGGGAAATTTTCTGCCATTTTAAAAAGGCAGTACAAGAAGTGAAGTACACTGAAAGTGACCTCTAGAAAGAGGATTGGCATCAGTGGTTCTGTGATGTTGCACATTTTGGTTTATACTTGTATTTATTACCGAAGGAGTGGGGTGTATTATATATATATATATATATCAATATACACAAATGCTCTGACATCTTAGAAAACATGCAAAGAAAAACTATTTCTATGATCCATCTTGAATTAAGTTTTACGTATGGTGTAAATTAAGGGTCAAACTTCATCTCTCACCCCACACACACAAAAATTCAGGACAAATTATAGATCTAAACACAAAAGCTAAAACATAAAGCTTCTACAGTATATTCTGTGTTTCCATTTACATGAAGTTCTAGAACAGGTAAAATCAATCTACAGTGAAAAGGAAAATCAGAACAGTGGTTGCCAGGGGGAAGCGAGGAGGGTGTGGAATGACTGGGACGGGGCATGAGAGGACTCTCTGGGGTGATGTTAATGTTCTATATTTTGATAGGGTTTGAGGTTACACACACGTATACTGTTTGTTAAAGTCATCAAATGATGTACTTAAGATGTGAGCATTTCACTGTGTGCAAATTTTACCTCCAAAAAAATAAAGCACCGTAAACAAATATTGAACCCTAGTTAATGATATGCACACTGAAGTGTTTAGGGTCAAGCATAGTGAAGTCCACAACTTTAAAACGCATCACAAATAAAATGGATTAATGTACTGATGGATAGAGAGATGGATAGAGGTAAATACAGTAAATGTAAATTACAGAATCTAAGTAGTGGATATACTACTTAGTGGGTATTTATTGTCTAATTCTTTCAACTTTTTTGTTTGAAAGTATTCATAATAAAATGTTGGGGAAAATATCCCTAGAATTGAAATGAGGCTAATTAAAATTAGGCTTCTAGGGGCCGGCCCCATGGCCGAGTGGTTAAGTTCGCGCACACTGCTTTGGTGGCCCAGGGTTTCCCCTGTTCAAATCCTGGGCGCGGACATGGCACCACTCATTAAGCCATGCTGAGGTGGCATCCCACATGCCACAACTGGAAGGACCCACAACTAAAAATACACAACTATGTACCGGGGGGTTTTGGGAGAAAAAGGAAAAATAAAATCTTTAAAAAAATAATAATAATAAATAAATAAATAAATAAATAAATAAAATTAGGCTTCTAGGTCTATGTGTCAGCTAGCAAATGGACCTCACCCTGCTCAAGGCACTATCACCTACAGTTGCAGTTCCACAAAAGTTGAACTCACTATACCAATCAACCAGTTTGCTTATATTGAAAAGTCCCCCAAAGACGTGTGCTCACTCGCATCTAAGTGTTTTTCACACTTTTAAAAATGATTCACACAAGGCAAGTGAGTTTCAAATGTGACTAGGGCTAACAAACCCTTTATCAGGATTGTCACACTTCCAAAAGTATCTTCTTTTGTCTTATAAATTCTTCAAGCTCTGTACGTAAACATACTGGAACATGAAGCTCATGTTTTATTGTTGTGGGACTGGTCTCCTACTGTTAAGATCAAACCAAAACATAAAATTGTCAAGGATCTGAAAAGTAAATAACTAAAAACTTAAGCAATCGGGCCGGCCCCCTGGCTGAGTGGTTAAGTTGGCGCGCTTTGCTTGGTGGCCCAGAGTTTCACCTGTTCGGATCCTGGGCACAGACACGGCACCACTCATCAGGCCATGCTGAGGCGGCGTCCCACATGCTACAACTAGAAGGACCCACAACTAAAAAATATACAACTATTTACTGGGGGAATTTGGGGAGAAAAAGCAGGAAAAAGAAAAAAAGAAGATTGGTAACAGTTGTTAGCTCAGGTGCCAATCTTTAAAAAAAAAAAAAAATTTAAGCAATCAATGAATAACCAGGGAACAATATGTGTATTTTACACCCATCAATGTGTTAGAACAGGAAATTGCGGAATCTGTGTGCAATTGATTACAGATCTGTATATTACAATGCAACTGATTACAGATCTGTATATTGAAATGCAATTACAGATTTTAAGAGGTAAAAAGCCTGTTAACATCTTTCATGGTCAACAAAAACTGTACCTCTCCTGCTGGTACTCAGTCCTACAGTAGGTGCACTTCACAACAGGGTGTGCAATCCGACATTCCTGAAATGAAATGAGGATATAATTTTAAAAGGCAGTCAGAAATGGAAACAGCCTTCAGTGGGAGGCAGAAGACCTGGGTACTATTCCCAGCATAGCCACTGTGCTTGAGTGAGTCACTTAAACTTTCTGGGCGTAGTTTTCTTCCTCTGTAATATTAGCATCACTGTCCTGCACTGATGTGGGAGTTAAGAATTTATATGGTACTAGTCATAAATTGTAAAACAAAGGTATGTATGAATAAGTCTCAGACTGAGAATCAGAAGCCCTAATTCTAGTCCTGGTTCTGCCTCTGCCACTGTGTGATTTTTGAACAGGTTCACCTGTGAAATTAAAGCGCTGGATGAAAATCATTATTGCTTACATATATAAAACTTCCTTAAAATTAAAAAAATTATATATATATATAATCTATATAATGTTACATACATAACATTTTAGGCCAAAAAAGGCACTACAAACATTTGAGTTTTCTCATACCTGGTAAACAGAGCGACATACTCATGACCATTTGAGGCAATGGTGACATACAATTATGAGTTATCCATACGAGAGACACAAACTCTGAACTATCCGGGGATATCTCAACATCACTCTCCAGCTGGCTTGGTGACTTTCAACTGTCGCCTCACCGCACTTCTATTCACTTAAATAGGCAAAGCAGGATGAAGCAACTTAAAACGAAAAAGAGAACTTGGGAGCTTTAGGGGTAAAAACTGATCAGCAGCTGGTTAGGGTGAGGACCAAAGGGCACCAACTGGATGCTGAAAAATCCTCCTTTTGCTCCGTGATCTTGATAGTGGGGCTTTTCTATAAAGCCTCGCCACCTGCGACTCTGAGACTGACTGAAAAGTGCCAGTGAGGCGCCCGAGTGTGAGATCCTCCTCCAGGCAGCACCCAACTCTGGAGTTCAGTCCCAGGCGGGGCAGGGGGTCCCTCAGTCTGCAACCAGGCAGGAAAGCCAGCCCAAGAGGGATCTCCGGCGCGCTGCTCGGGGGCAAGCAGGGAGCCCGCCGTCCCCTCCCCCGACCTCACGGGGTCCAAGAACAATTCCTCACGGTTGCTAAGCACCCGGACACGCCGGCCACTGAGGCCTGGACCGGGCCTGGGACTCCCCTACTGGCCCCGCCGGCCCCCAGCCGGGCGGGGGCGGCTCCTCTGCTAGGCGGGCCCGCCACGCCCTGCCCGGGGGACCCCGCCAGGCGTCCCCGCAGAACCGGGAGCTCCGGGCCGCGCCTCCGGCGTCCCAGTTCCCGGCCGCCGCCCCAGCCCGCGCACCTTGCACAGCTGCTGCCCCTGAGACAGCGCCTCGAAGGGGAAGCGCTGGTGGCACTTGGTGCACGCGTAGAGCGCCGCCATGTCCGGCCGAGCCGTGCTCCCCGCCCCGCCGGCCCGGCCCGCCGCTTTATCTGACAGTCTGAGGCACAAGCTGGCAGCGGCGGCGGCGGCTGGCTGCGGGCTGCGGCAGGCGGGCGGGCCGGCGGGTGCCGGCGGACCAGGGCGGGCGCGGCGGCGCTGGACGCCCGTTCACTGGTTCATTTCGATGTCCATCAAGCACGAAGGGGCGAAACACGGAGCTTCCGATGACTCTGATTCGGTCGGGATTGGAATACGCCGCTTATGACGCGCGCGGCCTCGATTATGTAAAGCGCAGTCACGCGGGGGCGCCACTGGGAGGGACCGCCTCCCGCCCGGGACCTCGGAAGCGCCCAGACTCCTCCCACCTCGCTCTTGGTTCCCGCCCTCGCTCCTCCTCTCCCCGGCCGCGGACGCAGCCGCGCCTCTCGCGATATCGCCGCTGAGTTGTGATGTTTTGGTTTCCATGGAGCTGCCCTCACGGAACCGGAGGGGCGCGGATGGGCTGAGTCCTCCGTGTTGTTGAACTAGAACTCGGCCACCACCCCGAGCCTGAAGAAGGTCGGGGGCTTGTGAGACAACCCCTCCATCATCGGGGCAGGAGGACCCCGCACAACCCTCTCACTCGAGGGAGAAGAGGAAACTAGGAGAGGCAAATTAGAGGGGTGCCCTCTGACCGAGACTCCTAAAAAAAGGGGAACTCTAGGGTCGTTGACCTCCAGAGAGAAAGAGGGACGTCCCAGAGAGAGCACCCCTATGTTGTGGAAGAGGGGTGCTAGAGTGATGACAGCACCTCCAGGAGGGAGAAGACAGATACCGTGGGAGGCGAGGCCCCCCGCCCCTGAGAGTGCTCGTGCCCTGGAGGCCCCTCAGAGTGGGATGCAGTTGCCCTGAGGCCTGTTTCCTGCTGTGTATTAACCAGTTGCACCCCCACCTTCTCTCTGGACCGATCGACCAAGTGTCATTTCCTGGCTAGGCCTGGCCTGGGAAGGCAAGCCACACCCTCCTGGCTACTCTCTCGCTCTTCGGCTCCCAGCCTGGCGCATGTGGGGGCGGTCCGAGGAATTACCACTTCGTTTTGGGGGCTTTGGCAAAGTTTCCTGCAGTGCTGGCCTTTCCTCTGCCCTGTGGCGGCCCTTGGCCTTAGATTACTTTTGGCTCTGCCGGTCGCCTGTATGGTACTAATTGCAGTTCTACCTCAACACGCATTTTTAAGATTGAGGGCGCACTTATGGCTTCTAAATCCTTGCCCCAACAACATTTACTCTTTTTTTTTTTTTTTTCTGAGGAAGATGAGCCCTGAGCTAACATCTATGCCAATCTTCCTCCACTTTATGTAGGGGATGCCGCCTCAGCATGGCTGAGGAGGGGTGGTATACGTCCGCACTTGGGATCCAAACCTGCCAACCAGCCGCCAAAGCGGAGCGCGTTGGGCCAGCCCGGCTTGCTTTGAAATCCAAATCCAGCCCCCTCCTTGTAGTTTTGCCCAAAGATGTGTATTGATCAAAGGTTTAGGCTCTGGAATCAGAAAACTAGGTTGCAAAATCACATGTCCACATCTACTAGCTATGTAACCTTGAACTTCTGAACTTCTCAGAGCCTCGCTTTCCTCAGTTGTACAATTTGGGTCATTGTGAGGATCAAAAACAGTACATGGAGGGTAATGGGGGGAACCTGCTTAAGGGATAAGGGGTTTCACTTATCCCCTTAGAGTGATAGAAATGTTTTGGAACTAGATAGAGGTGGTGGTTACACAACATTGTTTTGAATCTACTAACTGCCACTGAATTGTTCATTTAAAATGGTTTGTATTATGTGAATTTCACTTCAAATTATTATTATTGTATATATATATATATATATATATATGTATTTTTAAGATTGGCCCTGAGCTAACATCTGTTGCCGATCGTTTTTTTTTTTCTTCTTCTTCTTCTCCCCAAAGACCTCCCCCCCCCCCCCCCGCCATACAGAGTTGTATATTCTAGTTATAGATCCTTCTAGTTCTATGTGGGACACAGCCACAGAATGGCTTGATGAGCCATGCTAGGTCCATGCCCAGGATCTGAGCCAGCGAAACCCTGGGCCGCCAAAGCAGAGCGTGCAAACTTAACCACTCAAATTAGTTGATTTGGGCCACCCAAATTATTTATTTTTTTTAAAGTATGCAGACTTGGCATCCAGACTGCCTCCCTTGAATCCCAGCTCTAGCACTTAGAAGCTGTATAACTTTGGTCGCATTAAAACCAAACAAAATAAACAAGAAATAGTACCTGGAACTTGGTACACTAGATAAATGTTAGAAGAAGAAACTGCATTTCTTTAGGGAGATACTGGTGCCGTGGATCATGTAAACACAGCCTCCCTTCTGGTCACACACATACTCCACACTGGGGTATGGGTCTCTCTATGTTCCCAGTGCCTCCAGTTCTGATCTTCACTCTATTAGCAGTTTTGCAATTGCCTATTTACTTGTTTTTCATCCAAAATATGGCATTATGGAAGGGAAGGACCATATCTGGGTCCTCTGTATCCTCTTCACCCAGTGCAGGGCTAGCTGATCCATTCACTCAACACATCTTTCTTATTTACTATGTGCCAGGCTCTGGCTTAGGCAATGGGGATACATTGGTGTAGAAAACAGATATGATCCCTACCCTTATGAAGCCAACAGTCCAGTGGCAAAGACAGCCAAAGAGCGAGGACTACGAATGAAAAGACACCCTGCAGGGGTAGAGAACAAAGCTGGGATAGGGGAGAGGTAGGGGGAGTCACTTGGGTAGAGAAGGTCAGAGAAAAATTTTCTGAGAAGGTTCCAAGACCTGAAGGTCAAGAAGGATTTAGCCACATGACTTAGCCAAGAATGTTCTGGGCAGAGGGAAAGGTGAAGACCTTGAGGTGGAATATTGCTTGGCATATTCAAGAAATGGAGGAGAGGCCAGTAGAGCTGGGGCTTAGTTGGACAGAGGGCAAGTAGAGAGGTTGGCAGGGGTCTCAGGGGCCAGATGGGTAAAGCCTGAAGACTCTGAGATGGCTATAGATTTTTTTTCAAAGTACAATGTATGAAGTATAGTGAGAAAGAAGCCATTGGCAATTTTTAAACAGACAAACTGACAGATTTATATTTTTCAGAGATTTTCTGACTACTACAAGGAGGATAGACTGTAAGGGGCCAGCATAAATGCATAGAGACCACTGAGGAGGCTACTGCAGTCACCCAGGTGTGAGGTGATGACTGAAATGTTGCAGTGGAGAGAAGTGGACAGATTCAAGATATATTTTGGAACAGAGCCCCCAGGACTTAGGGACGGACTGGATTTAGGAGGTGGAAAGGAAAAAATTCAGCAGATCTTTCAGCGCTGTCACCACCATGGCCCTAGTTCGTTTCCCAGTCAGGGAACCACACCACCCATCTGTTGGTTGTCATACTATGGCAGCTGCGTGTTGCTGTGATGCTGAAAGCTATGCCATCAGTATTTCAAATGCCAGCAGGGTCACGCATGGTGGACAGGTTTCAGCGGAGCTTCCAGACTGAGAGTGGGAAGAAGGATCTGGCCACCCACTTCCAAAAAAATTGGCCATGAAAACCCTATGAATAGCAGCGGAGCATTGTCTGATATAGCAGCAGAAGGTGAGAGGATGGCACAAAAAGACCAGGCAGGGTTCAGGTTTCAGACAAAACCAAGAGTTTTATTTTTGATATCTTAAGTTCTAAATGCCTATGGGACATCCAGGGGGAGACAGTACTTAGGCAGCAGTTCTAGTCTGTATATTTCCTGGAGGACAGGTCTGGGATGAAGATAGAGTTTTGGGGAAATTGTCAGTATATATGTGGTATTTAATGCCCTGAGGCTGGATGATATTACCTTGGAAGCCTAGAGGTAGAAGAGAGCAGTCCCCTTCCTGAGTCAAGAGAAAGTTCATCCAACAGTTAGAGGCGTGCTCAGGAGGAGATGCCTGCCATGAGCAAAGGAGCCATGAGCAAGAGAGGTCAGAGAGGAGAGAGTGGTTTCACAGAAGCCAAGGGAAGAGCAGGAGACATTAGTCAAGAGTGTCATCAGCTACAGGGAGACTAAAGTGAGGACGGTGGCCGATGTCTCCTGAACCGACCTGAACACACAGCTGTGTTTGCCGATGGTCTACCCTGTCAAAACCTGTCCCTTCTTTTCTGACTAAGTCTTCCTCCAGGTGTCTTTGGCAGCAGCAGTTGGGTGTGTCCCTGAGGGAACAGTGGGAAGAGAATATTCCTAGCAATATTGTTCATAGTAGCAAAAGAATATGGGGAAAAAGGGAAATAATTATTGACAGAACAATAAATGGATAAATCGTGCTGTGCTAGAGAGGGGACACTTAGCTTCAACAGGGTCAGCTCTCCCAGGGTCATTGCTTGCCTGCTAGTCACAATCTCCAGAAAATCTTCATGTTAAGGAGGATGGTGTGGGTCCAGGGTGGAGGAGGGGGAGTCGATAAAAATTAAAACTGGCTTCTATTATGGGTATGAATGCTTGGTCCGCAAACTCAGAAATAAAACTTTTTAAAAAACTGAATTTAGTTTCTTTTTTAAAAAGTTATTTCTCCAGCTTTACTGAGATAGAATTGACATATAATTAAATTTAATTGCTATGTTATCTCTTCAATTAACATACACTGAACATCCAGTAAGTATCAGACACAGTGCTAGGATCTTGGAAGGACAGCAACCAAGTCCCTGCTCTCGCAGGGCTTCATTCTAAGGGTGGGGGAGACAGGTGATATATGTGTAAACAAAATGTGTAGTATAATTTCAGGGGATGCTAAGTGCTCAGATAAAAAAGTAAAGCAGGAGAAAGGGACAGAGAATGATGGGAGAGGCTCTATTTCAGACAGAATGGTCGGGAAGACTTCCCTGAGAAGGTGGCACAAGAGCAGGCACCTAAATGAAGTGAAGGTATCAACTATGTAAAGATCTAGGGAGAAGTATTCCAGATGGAGGGAACAGTAAGTGTAAAGGGCCTGAGGCTAGGAGGGCTGGGCATGTATGAGTAACAATAAGAACACTGTGACCAGCCTGGAGGAGTGAAGGGAGAGTGCTAGGAGCTGGGTTTGGGAGGCAGCTGGCTACCAAATCCTCTCGGGCTCAATGGGCCATGGCAGGGAGTTTAGATTTTGTTCTGAGGGTTATGGGAAGTCATTGGAGAGGTTTTGCTGCTGTTGTTGTTTCTAAAGATTTTATTTTTCCTTTTTCTCCCCAAAGCCCGCCAGTACATAGTTGTATATATTTTTAGTTGTGGGTCCTTCTAGTTGTGGTATGTGGGATGCCGCCTCAGCGTGGCTTGATGAGCAGTGCCATGGCGGTGCCCAGGATCTGAACCGGCAAAACTCTGGGCCGCCAAAGTGGAGCGATCGAACTTAACCACTCGGCCACCGGCCGGGCCCCATTGG